ACCCACTCTCCCCTACATGTAATAGCGTACTACGGGGGGAGGGTCAACATTCCCATAAAATGGGGCTACGTGGCTTATGGACGACCCCTAACAGATGATAGTAAAAATTAGAAGTCAATCTGCCACCATTTGCGAAGTTAGGAGTTTATTTTTATAAAACACCTATTTTTCTAAAATGTCAACGTAATCTTAATCACGCCTTATTATATTCTTGCTAAACATGAATATCGTATTTATTTTCAATTAAATTCACGTTGTTTCACAAAATTTAGAAAAAATTGAAATATGGGTTCCGTACTCCCCCATGGGTCAAGAATAGTTAGAGCTAGTTTGGCACGAAAAAATCCTGCTAATGCGACTGGAAATTATAAAAAAATGTTTAATTATTCTTTTTAGGTTGATATACACAATGGTGCGTAATTATATGTGACCTGGACAGTGAAAAGGGACCTTACGTGCGAAAACAAGTTTTCGAGAAAACAGCAGTTAAAGTTTAACTTAGAAAAACCCTTGAAACTTTTTTAAATATTAATATTTTTTAATCAATTTAGGCTTATTTTCTTCACCGTGAATCACAGTATCTAAATAAATAACATACAAGTAATAAAATTTTTTTTTACTAATTGTTTATATAAATTAATAACAAACTCCCCAAACATAGAAAAAATAATGTAAGTTTTCTAACTTGCAACAATAAGTATAAATAAGTGACACATGTTTGTAAGGGTTTTTTTCGCTGATTACGAATATGATAACAAATTCGAATTTTAACTGTTGACAGTTGTCAAAGAAACTGTCAACTTTTCTAAATAATAAAAAAATTATCGTCTTCGTTATTTTAATTTGTATAATAAAAAAAATCAGTTTTTTCGTATTTTTACTCTTGTTTTTTTTAACTTTAAAATTTTTTTTAAAAACTTCTAATCAACTTATGATTTTTTGGTTTTCACCATCTTAAAGAGCATTTCAAACCCTATCCGAATCAACAAAAAAGTAAAAAATGATTTTTTGACACGTAAGGTCCCTTTTCATAGACCAGGTCACATATACGGAAAAATGAAGCTTATTGACCAAGAAATTGGTGTTCGTCTGAAGAAAATTGGTTAACTTTCAGGTTCTAGTTCAGACGAATTTTTATTCAATATTGAAATTTAGAAAATGTTCAGAACATATTGTTATTACTTTCAGATATCAATATTAAATAGTCTAAATCCAATAAAATAAAGAAAACGAAAATTTACTGATTTTTTATAACATGATCCGAAAAGGTCTTAACTAACTATTCTTGCCCCATCCTCCCCTACTTTTATTCAACATACAATTCAAAAAATATTTTATACAGTTTAAATTGTAGAAAATTAAATTAAAACCCTGACCATCGTGGGGCCCTTTTCTTTATAGTATTATTAATATTAAATTATTATTATTATTTTTTTTTAATTTATTTGTTTATACACCCGTCTTAAGCCTACAATCTTGGCTATACAAGTGTTTTTACAACCGTAGAACATTTGTTACAAACATTTCTTAAATTTTACTTAATACTAAATTTTTGGGCCTACAGAGCGACTTAAAAATTAGGAGTACTCGCATTTGCCTGGATCACCCGTCTAATGGGTTTTCTCGCCAGTGGAGAGAGAAACTGTAGAAAACCTCTCCTGAGTACAACCGGTTTATGGACAGTCGAGTTCTAATGGTGTGTACCGGACAATAATCGACGGTGCACATCATTATACCTCGACGTCAAACCTCCCACTCAGATTGTCTCACGTGCCGGAAAAATACCAAGCCAAAAGGGCGCGAACCAAGGGTACTTACCCTTGGTCCTTAAAACGACCGCCAAGCGAGGCATCTATCCGACTGAGCTAATCTGTCGGTATATTAAACTATTATTATCAATATTAATAATAAAAATGGAAAAAATTGTTTGATTTAATTAAATATTTTATTTGTCCATTATCTATTACTTAGTTATTTTTACCAAATTTGCATTACTTAGGTCAAATAAATGGAATAATTCAAATTAATAAATATTGCTTCAAATCAATTATTATGAAAATTGCTTGATTCAGTAATTCATGTTCTTTTAATTCAAATATTTATTTGAATCAAGAAAATAATTTTTCCAAAGAACTACAGATTTGTTTGTATCAAATATTCATAATAAATCATTATTTTATTTGAGACTAATATACCATTAATTGGGTAAAATAATTAATTATTATTTATCCCAAATGCTTCTAAGGACTCACATGCTTGGAAATATTAACATTAACCCTTAAACCGCACCCTGGGTGTGCGACACCCATATTCTAGCTTTTTACTATAATATCTCATTTAAATTCGTAAAAATGGAACATGTGTTGATATTGGACAGTACATTTTGTACTTAACTTCATGTTTCGTGATTGATATTAGTCTGTCAAGTGTCTTTGTGTATTTTATAACTTTATGAAGTTGGCGGCGAAAAATTTCTGCTTGTCTGACACCCAGTTTTTGGTTTAAGGTGATTTCAGTAGTTTAAAAAAACTCTTTTTTAATTATTAATATTAAATAAATCATTATGAAACCTATTTTCCTTCAAAATAGATGTACTGAGCAATATAAGATAATTTTTCAAAAAGATAATATCCTATTCCAGCTTAAAGAACACACTTAAAAGTCCCCGGGTGTCGCACACCCAGTGTGCGATTTAAGGATATTTTCGTAAGTGCACTGAGAAAAAAGAGGGCGCGTTGCAGCGCATTTTCGATTCATGTTGCGCGACTCAACCTGATTTCAGATTCGTAATCAGCGACCCTGAAAATCCTCAAGTATTCAGTTTCAAGCCAATCTGATCAATTTTTTATTTCGTTGTCCGCCATATTGGATCCGCTATTTTGAATTTTGGAAAACTAATGTTAGATTCGTAATCAGTGACCCTTAAAACCCCTGAGTAACAAGTTTCAAGCAAATTCGACGAATTTTGACAAAATTTCCGCCATCTTGGATCCGCCATTTTAAATTTCGAAAAACTGATGTCAGATTTGTAATTAGCGATCCCAGAAACCTTAGGGTACCAAGTTTCATAAAAATGCATTAAAAATTTTTTCAAGGGGTTAAATACGTCAAATTCCAATTTCATCCAATATATTTCTCCTTAATCCATTTTAAATACTTCAAATTCCATCCAACATCCAATCAATCGAAATTTCAACTTTATCCAATATTTCTTTTCTTATATTTTAAATAAAAAAATCAAAAGTTATTCAAAACAGGAAAAAAATAAATGTCAATTTCTTTATCCTTTAAATTCAAAATGAATAAAACTATATCAAATGGTAATATAATATTTAGAAAAATATAACTATACCACTCAAGAAACACTTTAATTAACTCTCTACAAATTGTAGAGAAATTATATAAAAAACAGAAAATATCTAATGTTATCCAAAATAAAAAATACTATATCAAATAGTAATGTGATATATTCAAAAAATAAATATACCACTCACGAAGCACTATCGTTATCTCTCTACACTACACTGAAAGAATTTTTGGGAGGCTGCAGGCTTTACATTAGTGCCGCTAGAGCTCGTTGCCTGAAGCTCGCAGTTAACCTCAAAAAGGCGAGAATCTACTCCCGAAAGGTAAGCAGCAACTTCTCAGGGGCAGCAGCTCACCTTTCGGGAGTAGATGCTCGCTTTTTTGAGGTGAGCTGCGAGCCCTGAGGAAGGGGCACTAATTTCGGACATTAAAAGTCAGCAGCCTCCCCAAAAATTCTTTCAGTGTACATACAAGAAGAGATGTCCCAGTTAGTCCCGTGAGGGGAAGTAGCCTTCCCCCACCATACGGCACACCAAGTTGAAACTGAGTCCCGAGCAACCCTCACAACGGAGATCGCTCGGACCCTTAAACCCTCATTAAGTAAAACTGTTAATGACTTTTTCTATAAAATATAATTTTTTTAAATAGTAACATTTTTTATTTTTCATTAACATATTTAAATTCCTTACTTTCTCACGATTCTATACATATGTTGTTTATCAAAAAAAAGTTGAAATTAAAAAAATTAATTATTTTTTCCAGATACATAGAATGAAGTTAACTCTACCAAAAACCATATACCTATTATTAAATAAATATTTACTGTTTCACATAGGTTTTATCTAAATCACTTTAATGCTATTTGACCCAATATTTGCAGTATTTGAAGCAAATACCATTTAACTTAATCTTTAAATTTTAACATTTTTTGGTAAACATTAAATCATTATTATCTTTAATACCTACTATTGCACAATCATGGCCTTTAAACAATACTTAAATAAGTATTTCACACCACCTATATTACCACATGCTACAACATTAATGTGACATTCAAATGTTTTACTCAAATACGGATTATATTGTACAATCATCGAATTGTCTGCAGTGCATTTAATTGTTCCATCTTTTTTATAAAAAATTATTTTTTTACCATCATTTCTTCGTCTATATTCCGGATAGTTTTTTGAATCATAATTTGTTTCTGAACAAAATGGTTTTGGATAATGTTTCACGCAAATTTTTGTTTCCGGATTCATGCAAGGCGAATTCATATTTTGCTTTCCACAAGGTCCATGGACTTGAAATTGTTTTACAATTTTAAAAAGTTCTGGATTTTTTGTTTCATCTGGAATTTCTGCACATATTATTTTATCTACACATTCTGCATCACGAATCGCAAAAGTTTTATCCAAAAATAAAATTAAATGTATGTGTGGCAATCCACGCTTTTGGAATTCTATTACATACACATAAGCGAGAACTGATCCAAAAATATTTTTATCTTTTAATTCACTCATAAGCGATTTTACCTTTTGTTGAAAAACTCTAGCTACAATATCCGGTCGATCAGACGCAATTTCACCTTCCAACAAATTTTCTCTAATCTATCGCCATTTTGGATTACATGTCATTGTAATGAATAAATCAGGTTTTCCAAATTCTTGAACTAATCTCATGGCATCCATAAAAGATTATTGATACGAACGTGGTCCTCCAGTAAATGTTGATGGTAAAATAATTATTCTTCCTGGTTTTACATTTTCTCTATTTGCTTTATTATGTACATAATCCATTAATCCACAGTACATTTCTACTCGAAGTTGTTTTTGATTTTTATAAATGAAACTTATGCGTCCAGCTACGACTTTTGACCAAATATCAACTATAAATTGTTGACTTAATTTTCCCATTTGCGTACATGGATTAAACATTCCTCTGTAAGAAAGGCGATACATATAAAATTGTAAAGCAATAACATTACGAACACTATTAATTTGCTTAATGTTTACAGTCCATCCTGAATCACCTGAAGGAAACATTAAAGGATATATCATAGGATCAGCGTTTGCACTAAGAATAGAAATGGGAATACTTTCAGAACCTTTTGGATGTATACATATATCACGATCCACTGGAGGTTCACCATTTTCACTCACAAATACAACTGCTACTTCATTACAAGATGGTACATTGAATTTACTTTGATTTAATGATCTATCCCGTTTGATCCACATTTGAATATCCCTTATAGGTTTATTTTCCAATTTCGCTCTAGTTTCTTCTTCTAATTCTACTTCTCTCATCATTTTCAAGGCATCTGCAAATGGACTAACCTCTCTTAATAATTTATCTATTCCTTCCAGTAATGATGGTAAACATTTTTTATTCGATTCATTTTTTAATCGTTCAAATACAGCTTCATTAGTATCAAGAATATACAGCTGACCATATTTTAAACTGTCACCATCATTAGGATGAAGAGCATATGTATTATGATAAACTTGTCCATGTATACGAAAAACATAAGGACCATACCCTTTAGGAATTTCTAATTTAGCTCCCATACTGGCAAAAGCAGAAGAACTGTTATAAGAACGAATATTTTCCCTAAAATTTTTACCTTCCAAGTTGGAATCATTTAATAAATTACGTAAATAAATCGGATAATCATTTAAATCATCTAATTTTACTTTTCCCTTATGACAGCAACTACTAAATTTTTTATCTAGTGGTCTTTCACACATAAAATGTAATGCAGCACAAAACTCGCACTTAACATTCAACAAACCCAAATAATTTTGTTCAAATTTACATTCATCAAAATTTTCAAAAGGCATAATTGCAACTCTTAAGGTAAGTTTTTGTTTTTTATTTCTTAAATCTATTTCTGCTTCTGAGCTATTACGTTTTCTCAACCCATCATTCTCTTTTCTAATTATTTTTTGCTCCTCTGTTCCATCTTTCCTTAGTTGTTCAATTATACAACCTCTATTATCATTATTATTAGTTGAATTAAAAATCTTATCATTTTTTTTATTCAATAAACCGTTAGTCTCTGAGTCTATTTTTTGGAGTTTTTTCTTTTCAATTTCAGTTTCTGTTTCTCGTCTACTACGTTTTCTTAACCTGTCATTTTCTCTCCTAATTATTTTTTGCTCCTCCGTTTCTTCCTGCCTTACTTTCTTCATTCTTTCTTTAGCTTTTATTGCACACAATCTTTGTTTATCATTTTCTTCATTTAAAAGACACTTACTTTTGGGGTGCTCAATTATACAACCTTTATTGTCATTATTACTAGTAGAATTACAACTCTTATCATTTCTTTCATTCAAAAATCGCTTAGCCTCTGAATCTATTTTTTGGAGCTTTTTCTTTTCAATTTCAGTTGCTGTTTCTCATCTACTACGTTTTCTTAACCTGTCATTCTCTCTCCTAATTATTTTTTGCTCCTCCGTTTCTTCCTGCCTTACTTTCTTCATTCTTTCTTTAGCTTTTATTGCACACAATCTTTGTTTATCATTTTCTTCATTTAAAAGACACTTACTTTTGGGGTGCTCAATTATACAACCTTTATTGTCATTATTACTAGTAGAATTACAACTCTTATCATTTCTTTCATTCAAAAATCGCTTAGCCTCTGAATCTATTTTTTGGAGCTTTTTCTTTTCAATTTCAGTTGCTGTTTCTCGTCTACTACGTTTTCTTAACCTGTCATTCTCTCTCCTAATTATTTTTTGCTCCTCCGTTTCTTCCTGCCTTACTTTCTTCATTCTTTCTTTAGCTTTTATTGCACACAATCTTTGTTTATCATTTTCTTCATTTAAAAGACATTTACTTTTGGAGTGCTCAATTATACAGCCTCTATTATCATTATTACTAATTAAATTAAAATTATTATCATTTTTTTGATTCAAAGAACACTTAGCCTTGGACTGCTCCATTGTTACAATTTTATTATTAGTTACATTATTCCAAGGGTGTGTCTTCAAAAAATTATAAGAATTTGTTTTTTCAGAATTCAAAAGACGCTTCCAATCACACTCTACAATCGAATGTCTCATATTCGATCTTCTCATCTCTGAAAACTGACATAGACGATTATCTTGAAATATTTTGTTTAAATGCTGCTTCATTTTGTTATTTATGCTTTCGTAATTAACAGTGTTTGGCATAACATTATAAAATAATGATGTTGCAAATGCTATTGCATATACTCCGCATTCAACACTACCCATTGGTTGTTGATCAACAGTAACAAAAACTACTGGTAGCTTAAAAGGATATAATCTACTTAAATAATTCAACTGATCTTCATTCAGACATTTTTCATTAAGACTATCAAAAATATAAATTCTTACTCCATCATAATACGTACAAATCCAATGACCCCTCTTATTATGACCACTAAATAGTATTTGAATATGTTTTTTGCCTACTCTAATAGGTCTAATATGTTCAAGCAGATCTTCATTTACAAATAAAGTACTTTGCATTCTAAACACAGAATTTGATTCTCTTTCCAAAATTTTTCCAAATTCATAAATATGATTATCACTTAACATATCTTTATTATTAAGTATTTCTCTATATTCTGTAGCACTTAAATTAACATGACCTTCTATTCTCGACATTTTTTAATCAATATTTTCTTCTTAATCTATTTTTAATTCCAATTTGTGGGTTTTGATAATAATAATTACGTTTTCCCAATTTATATTTTCTACATCACAATTTCATCAATTCTTACAAAATCATTGTCTCCTATATCACTAATACAAACCAACCAATATTTAACTCATAAAACAATATTCAAGATTTGAACTAATAAAGTGTATTTACTCCATTTCAAATAAGCCACATTCCAATTTTATCCAATATTTAATTATTTAACCAACATATCAATATTTAACCAATCAAATCATATTTAACCCATAAAACAATGTTTTTTAATTCAACAACCAATATTCTATTTAATTCATTTTTAATATGTCAAATTCCAATTTTATTCAATATACATATCCAATAAGCCCTAAATTCAATTTTATCCAATATATATTCTATTTAATATATTTCAAATTCGTCAAATTCCAAATTCATCCAATTTATATATCCAATAAGCCTAAATTCAATATTATCCAATATATTCTATTTATTCTATTTCAAATTCGTCAAATTCCAGTTTTATCCAATATATTCCCTTATTCCATTTTAAATACGTCCAATTCCAATTTCATTCAATATATTTCTCTTTAATCCATTTTAAATACATCAAATTCCAATTTCATCCAATATATATATATATTTCTCTTTAATCCACTTTAAATTTTAAATACTTTAAATTCCAATTTCATCCAATATCCAAATTTCAATTTTATCCAATATTTCTTTTCTTATCTTTTATTTCATCCAATATCCAAATTTCAATTTTATCTAATATTTCTTTTCTTATCTTTTATTTCATCCAATATCCGAATTTCAATTTTATCCAATATTTCTTTTTTTATCTTTTATTTCATCCAATATCCAAATTTCAATTTTATCCAATATTTCTTTTTTTATCTTTTATTTCATCCAATATCCAAATTTCAATTTTATACAATATTTCTTTTCTTTTTTTTTAATAAAAAAAATAAAATGTTATTCAAAACAGAAAAAATGTCAATTTCTTTATCCTTTAAATTCAAAATGAAAAAAAACTATATCAAATGATAATATAATATTTAAAAAAATATAACTATACCTCTCACGAAACACTTTAATTAACTCTCTACAAATTGTAGAGAAATTATACAAAAAAAAGAAAAGAAAATATCTAATGTTATCCAAAATAAAAAAAGTATATCAAATAGTAATGTGATATATTCAAAAAATGAATATACCACTCACGAAGCACGATTGTTAACTCTCTACACTACATACAAGGAGTGATGACCAAGTTAGTCCCGTGAGGGAAAGAAGCCTTCCCCCACCATACGACACACCAAGTCAAAACTGAGTCCCGAGAAACCCTCACAGCGGGGATCGCTCGGACCCTTAAACCCTCATTAAGGAAAACTGTTAATGACTTTTTCTATAAAAATACAAATTTTTTAAAAAGTAACATTTTTTATTTTTCATTAACATATTTAAATTCCTTACTTTCTTACGATTCTATACATATGTTGTTTACCAAAAAATGTTAAAATTTAAAAAATTTATTATTTTTCCAGATACATAGAATGAAGTTAACTCTACCAAAAACCATACCTATTATTAAATAAATATTTAACTTAATCTTTAAATTTTAATATTTTTTTGGTAAACAACATATGTATAAAATCGTGAGAAAGTAAGGAATTTAAATATGTTAATGAAAAATAAAAAATGTTACTATTTAAAAAATTTATATTTTATAGAAAAAGTCATTAGCAGTTTTCCTTAATGAGGGTTTGAGGGTCCAAGCGACCCCCGCTGTGAAGGTTGCTCGGGACTCAACTCCAAGTAGCCCTCGCAGACCCCCGCTGTGAAGGTTGCTCGGGACTCAATTCCAAGTAGCCCTCGCAGACCCCTGCTGTGAAGGTTGCTCGGGACTCAATTCCAAGTAGCCCTCGCAGCGGGGGCGTTTTGCTCCCTCTAACATCGAACAGACATACTAAAAGCGAACAGACATACTAAATGCGAACAGACAAAATATATATATGCAAACGGAATACGGACTTTAATATTGTTAATATTTATTTACCAATTGATATCTTAATAACAATAATAATAATACTTATTATATTATTTAATAATAATTAATAATAATAATTTTTAAATAGTATAAAAAATTACTAAAAATTATCAGAAATAATATTTTAATATTAAATAATTTATAAGTATTTATATCTAATATTGTTAAGTGCACACGGTAATAAATAAACTATCAAGATTGATTCAAGCTTGAATAAAGACTGGATGTTGAAGCTCCACTCACGAAGATTGACCGAGTGTTAAATCGAGCATAAGACGAACATTGGTGTCCCATGCTGAACCAATATTGAGTGACAATGATATAAAGACTGCTTCAACTCTGGGTTACCCACGCTGGGCGTTCAAGACTCAGTCAAGTTTCAACCCATCGTCAGCACTGGTCTTTCGCGCCTGGGATTCGATTGCTTATCGACTTTTTTCGACTTTTTTGTGAAAAAATGCGACTAATCGACTTTTTTGAGATTTTTTAAAGTAAAATGCGACTGAAATTAAAAATTTTTTTTTTTAATTTAAAGGAAGAAGTTTGAGTCAAAAAAATGTTCTGTTACATTTATTTACAAATTTCTTTCAAATTTTTTGAAAAACATCAATAACTTATTTTTTAAATAAATATTTACTTATTATTTTTCCATAGGAATTAAAATTTTTCAAAAGATTCAAATTCAAACTTTTTGAAATTAAACAACTTATGAAAAATTGTTATAAAACATGAAGAATTCGATCACTTCGAGTCTTCGACTCGAAGCAATCGATGTCTTCATGTTTTATAATAATTAAAGATGACCGAGTGATAAAATCATTAATTTATATTAAAAGCGACTTTATAAAAAAA